TTTCTTTTTGCATTTATCAGCAAACGTTCTACTCTTTGGCTATATGCTTCCCAATCTTCTTTTGTTGCCTTATGGTACAAATAGATTCTTCTTGTTTCTCCTTAGCTTTTCTTAGTTCTTATTCACTTTTTTTTAAATAGATCAATACTATCTAATTGTATCTACACTATACTATGATCACTATCTGTTATTGTTTCTGAACTATCAATATCTTCTTCTACGATGAATAGCTTTAAATTTTGACAGCACCATATGTAATTAATTCGTGTTGCTATATTGCTATTTGTCTATGAAAATTTAGTAGAACTTAGGTTGCAGAAGCGAAATAACTCAATATAATCTAAATTGCTTAGCCATTTTATTATTTTTGTATTTGCATCTTTTGCTCATTTTTCTCTGCTACTAGTATCTAGATCATAATTGAGTATAGCATTGAAGTCTTCCATTATTATGCTATATGTATTTTTCCTATTTTTGATAAGCTCTTCTATAATTATCTTGTGTACTTCTTTGGCTACTTTTTTGTTTTTAGATGGTATGTACAAAACCTACATCTGTATCATAACTTTTCTAAAATAGAACTCTGCTTTGAGAAGATAAGAACTAAATTTCTTATATACTTCTATATGTTGAAGCTAGTTCTGATCTACTAGAAGGCTAATTCCTGATCCTTTATTCTTATCTTCTTCTGTATTTGTTCAAAAACTTTTGTATAATTCATTCTCTGTATCAAACTACTTGTCTTCTTTTTCACTTATATTTGTTTCTACAATACCTACTAGGTTAAATTGTTTTTCATTATAATAATCTGCTAACCGTTCTAATTTTAACATATCTCCTTTTATTCTATTAATATTGTGCATTCCAAATTTGATTTTTCTCTTCCATGTATATTTTGTTTCTTTATCTTCATTTCTCTTTAACTCTTTTTCTTACTCTTTTGTCTTTCTATTAACACTTTGGTTTAGTATACTATATGCTCTTTCTGTATACTTAAGTTTTCCTTCATAAGTTATATGGGTATTCTGTAGTTAGACCTTGGCTACTTTCAGGAGTAATTAGAAGCATTTTACTCCCACTTACTTACTTTTTCCTCTAATCTGTGAATAAGTTGAACTACGTATGCTATTGACATGTTATCATCTTTTTGGCTTTCCATATTGCTTATCTGTCTATTGCTCTTTTCAGTTTTTTTCTTCTTACTAGCTTCTTCTCCTTCTTTTTCTGTATATTTTCTTTCTTATCATACTGTTTTCTATTCTCATAGCTATTAGCTATATCTTCTTTTTTATTTATATCACTTTGTTCATGCCTCTTGCTTCGCCATTCTTGCTTCAAGCTCATTCTCTTTTGTCTTACTCTATCGTGTGATATTTCATTAGCATTAGCCTCTGCATTTTCACAGAAGAGTCTTGTGTTATAATATCATATACTATATCTTCTTGCTTGCTCTAACTCTTCTTTACTTTTAAATGAAACAACGATGAATCCTTTATTATTTCTATTTGTGTTTTTGAAGATATATACTATTTTTGCTCCTGTGTACTTAATTTGTCTAAACAGAAGTACTTCATTAGCTTTTCTTGAGATATTATATAGTTTTGTCGTATGTTGTTTTCAGCTTTCAAGAACTTCTCTACTATTTAATCCTAGTATGATACAGACTAATACATTGTTCAGTAATAGTATAGCCCAGACTTCTTTTTCTTAGTTGTTTATTTTCAATTCTTCAAATATGATTTCTGCTCTCATTTTCATATAGCCTTCTTGAATCATCTCGATATTTGCAACTCTTTCCATATGCATTACTGCTCTGAATACTTGATTTCTTGAAATATGTAATGGAATATCTCATATTGTTATTGCCTTTTCTTCTCTGCTTGTACTTGCTTTAGGTCCATCTTGGTTCAAATCTCTTTTCTTTGAGCCTTCTAGGCCTTTACTCTCCTCATCATAGTATCGCTTTCTCTTTTCCTTTAGAATACTTCTCCTTCTATTCTCTTCATTTCTTTGATATCTTGTATCCTTTTCTTCCTTTTCTGCTTCTATAGTAGTATTTTTTGCTTGTACTTTTCCTTCTATTTTGTCTTCTTCATATACTATCTTTCCTTTTCCTTTGTTTTTAATCTGATTTATTTAGATCTTCGCTTGTTCTTTTCTTAGTTTACCTCTTTTTTTCTCAATCTCT